GAGGAGGAGGAGGAGGAGGAGGAGGAGGAGGAGGAGGAGGAGATTGGATTTCTACCCTGCCCTTCACTACTCAAAGGTGTCTCAGAGCGGCTTACAAACTCCTATCCCTTCCCCTCCCCACAACAGACACCCTGTGAGGTAGGTGGAGCTGAGAGAGCTCTGACAGAAACTGCTCTTTCAAGAACAGCTCTTATCAGAACTACGGCTTGCCCAAGGTCATCCAGCCAGGTGCAAGTGGAGGAGTGGGGAATCAAACCCGGTTCTCCCAGATTAGAGTCCGCGCACTTAACCACTACACCAGACTGGCTCTGTACACGCGGGATGTACATGTGTTCCCTGTAACATGTGAACAGGGTTGTGATGGTGTTTCCCCATCTCAGAACTTTTCGGGAGCTGGGCCGGAACTGGAGGAAGGTATTTTGTTGCCCCAAGCCAGGTATATACGGCCCCTCCTGGGCCAGTGGCCAGCACATGTGTGGTAGACTAGGATCCCGTAGAGCCAGGTTCCAATCCCCACTTTGCCAAGGAAGTATGGTGGGTGACCTGGGGCCAGTCACACACTCTCAGTCTAACCTACCTCACAAGGTTGTTGTGAGGACAGAATGGAGGTGAGAAGGATGGAAGCCGCTCTGGGCCTCCTTTGGGGAGAAAGATGGGGTAGAAATGAATTCAATAAAAAGAATAAATAAATAGAGCCCTGGCCTCTGTGCCCTGTTTGTTGGCCCTCCGGCGTCACTTGGGGGAAGAAGATGCTGGACGATGGGTCTTTCAGTGGCAACTAGCCGTGGTAACTCAAGAGAACGTCTGCATTCAGAGGCAGTAAACCTCTGCATCCCAGTGCCAGTAGACAACATCAGGGAAAGACCTTGGCCTCTATGTCCAAAGGAACTGGCTGGCCGCTGTGTGAGACAGGATGCTGGACGAGACGGACCATTGGTCTGATCCAGCGGGGCCCTTCTGATGTTCTTATGAAGACCTCACCCTCTATAAACTATTGTTGGCCCTCCAGAGGAACTGGTTGGCCCCTGTGTGAGAGAGGATGCTGGACCAGATGGAGCCTCAGTGGTCTGACCCAGCAGGGCTCTTCTGATGTTCATCTCAGGGGAAGGCCTCCGCCTCTCTGCCCTGTTGTTGGCCCACCACCAGAGGAACTGGCTGGCCACTGTGTGAGACAGGAGACTGGAGTCGATGGACAGGACCCTCACTGGTCTGATCCAGCAGGGCTCTTCTGATGTCCTGATAAAGGCCTTGCCCTGTTGTAGTGTTGCCAGGTGTGGGTTGGAAAATACCTGGAGACTTTGGGGGTGGATCCGGGAGAGGGCGGGGTTTGGGGAGGGGAGGGGCCTCAGCATAGTACAATGC